AACTGCCTATTTCACGCTGCCTTTTAAGAAATGTTCTCTATTGCAATGGGAAAATCAGGACTATACGAAGCATAGTCAGTCCTTGTGAATAATTTTTAAGTTAAACTCTTTTAAAATTTATGATTTATGATAACTTTTTGATACACAGGGAATACAAATAACAATACAACTTAAAAAAATCTTATTAAATTTTCTGCATCACAGTACATTGCCCTACTCAAACGATACTGCAAATTTCTTTATCATGTTATTTTCAGTATTTGAAACTAAATGTGTTTTAGCTTCTAATTCTTACATACTAGAAATCAGAAATTATGTTGAAGAGGAAATATTCAATATTATTCTTTACCACTGCATGCATGAACTTTTATAATTTCCTAAAACATATTTATCAATGTCTAATTCTATACCTACAGTTAGTATTTTCTCCCAGAATATATATCTCATTATTTATATTTTATACTTTATTCTTGATTTTTTCCTAGAATATGACATTTTAGAAGTGCTGATCAGTTTACTGCAGAATTTGTTTTGTCTGCAGGTGTTAATTTTAGCATTTTGTACTGAAGAAGTAGAGAAAGGTAGAAATTTGCTAAATTGTATTATATCACAACATATTTTAATGTAGATTATTAAAGTAATTACATAAGTAAAATAATTCTTCATGTAGCTTATATTTTTCCTAAAATTAATTTGTAAAATTAGTTCAAGGCATTAAACAGAACAAAGTTTCCTCAGATACTGTACAAAAAGATATTTGCACCGTGGTTTCCATGTATATGGGATTTAATACTTTGATTCTAAAACATTATTTTTGGCTATGGAATGTTAATAAAAAAGTGCTTTGTAACTGATAACAAACAAACAAACAAACATACTCCTTAACTCATAAATTAATACTCAGCAAGATACAGCTATTCCTAAGAAATTAAGATGCCTATAACTTACTTCAAAAAAAATAAATCTGTAAGCACAGATTATAATATTTTGTCAATCAATTAGCCCAATGTCTTTATTTTAAAAATGTTGAGTGGCTTCCTTTAACCTAGGTATCTAGTTTGTGGCAGTCAGAATAAGACCCCTAAGTTTAATTCACTTTTGCTTTTTATTCTTCCAATCTTCAACTATTTAACATAGTTATTAAAAAAATGTTTAATTACCTATTGGAAAAGAGAACTTTATATTAGATTTTAACCTACAATGAAGGAAGTGATTACAATACTATATACTAATATTCATCTAAGATAGCAAAGCAATGTCATTTACCTTAAATTTACGTCTCTGCTCTGCACAGCTGTTGAAGAACCACAAGTCTGTCTCATGGCTGTAAATGTAACAAGAACAATAATGCGACCAATTTTCATACCTAAACTAAATTAAGTAGATTTGTCATAGGTTAGAAAACTGATAATGTATTTTACAAAAAAGATTTAAAATTTATAGATTATGGAAGTGTGCATATGCATATGCATATGCAAATGTGTGTCTTTGTGTACACGCATGTGTGTTTTTAAAAAGAGTAAAAGAAATTCACTCTTTTTAATCTGGAAATTAGTTCCGTGAAATTGAAAGCATTACTTATTCTCTTTGGTTAACTGTTCTTTTTATGGACCACTATGGGTATACCAACCAAGTCTAGGAAGTGCTAGGAGTAGATATTAATAAATATCACAAATCAAGATAAGAGACTGTCTTCAGCTGTTATAGTATGTTTTCTGGGATACATAGTAAGCATGTAAAGAAGAAACATCTGGTAATGCTTAGGTTGGTATCAGCTCCCATTTGCATCACAATCTTTATATATTATTAATGACTATGTCATTAATCAATGTACCTACTGATTGGACCTATTCAACAGGTGTTTCATGTAATGAATAGAAAATGTAAACATGTTTCAAATACATATATTCAGATACCTGTACATGAAAGTGAAATTACTACACAATCGGTACTCAAGCTTGTCAGATGTGATTTTTTTTCTTTCCATTTTGTATTAGATAGGCTAATATCTATGCATCTGTAGCACAAAACCCTGAAAAAATGTAAATGAGAAAGTAATAGTAGATAAATACTAGTCTGCTAGAAATAGACTCTCTACCATGTCACACTTCAAATCTGGCTACCACTTCTCAATATTTAAAAGAAATCAGTTGAGTGTAACAAGACCTAATATTGTTCTTGTGACTTGAGCCATCAAAACAGATTTTTTAAAAATCTGTATTTTTTCAAACTTTATAAAATAGTTCTCCATCAAAACTATATTTTAAAATGAAAAACGAATACTCTCCTTTGGTCCTCTAAAAATGTGTGATGCCTGATAAAGCACAAACCACCATGATTTATTATCAAGCACCAAATACCTAGCCTTTGCACGTGCAGATTTTGAAACATGTTCAATTATCTTTATGAATTTTAAGAGATAATCTGCACCAACTCTATTTTGAAAGATGGGTTAAACTCTTAGTTAAGCAGAAAAAGAACCAGACTGTAGAAAATCATAAAAGTTTTGAAGTGTTAATTTCATATTAAATGGTTAAAAATTTTAACAAAAATATTCAACCCTTTTCTTTAACATAAGTGGTAATAGTGCAACTCACAATAAATAGCATTTGCAGATGCAAGGATAAGCATTACCTAATATCCTCATTTAACAACATATGTAAACTAGTATAAAATGCTATTAGGTTTTAAACACAATCCCAGGATTTTTACTGTTGCTAAACTTATCAAATACTATGTGTACTAAAACTTCAGGCTCACATTTTATTAACAGCAGTGTATTTTTTGGTGAACAGATAAGTCTTCATTCATTATTTCTAAATTCTCATTCATAAAAACCAACTGTTCATTCCTATGACATTTTGGCATTAGACCTGCTTAAAATACAAAATAATAAAAAAAGCTACAATTTTATAATTTATACAATGGAGATACATTCATATTGATATGCATCATAAAACACTAAATATAAGTGACACAAGAAAAGTCTTTGTAGTAATGGTTAGCACCTGAAATTGTTAAAAGGTATTTAAATTACTTTCAATCACCCTTTCACAATAAAATAATAAAATTGAGGACTTCTGCTCAAAATTTTATTTATACAACATCTGGTACATGAGCAACAATTTCTGATTTTAGAGTCATTAATATTCCTACATTATATGTGTGTGTTTTCTATGAAAAATTATGGATATTTTAGTTAAACAAAGTATCAAATCTTGCCTTCCAATACAACAACAACAAAAAGAAAGAAAGAAAGAAAGAAAGAAAGAAAGAAAGAAAGAAAGAAAGAAAGAAAGAAAAAAAAAAAACTAAAGCCCAGCCATTCTTTCCAGAGATGCCCTGGTAACCAGCAATAAAGAAACTTCTACTGGACTTAGCTTTGGGGAGGAAGGAACAACTACTTTGTCTATTTTGTCAAGAGTTATGTTAAAACAGAATTAGGACAATATGTATGTAGTGTTTTTCCAGTAGTTGAAACAATAAACTCCTACCTTTGGCTTACACTGCCAGCATCTAAACCTCCTTTGCTATACCAACAACAGTGCAAAATTCCCACTCTGAAGCCACAGTGAGGGAAACATTTCATTTGCTATCTTCTGTGACTTCCATGTAAATTTTTCTCTGTCATGCAAATGTATGGAGAGGCTGTCTTGGAATAAGACAATTCGATGGAAAGACTCCAATCACTGGCATTACTTGGGGAGAGATGATGGTGAGGAAATTGTGTTGCCATAAAATTACTGATTAGTTTAAACAAAAGAGCGTGACATTTATTTTAAAAAAAATTAAAATGAATCTTCAACTCAGGCTGATTCAATACAACGTTTGCAATCATGGCAGACATTTGAACTTTAGACTACTGGAACACATCCCCTCTCCACAAGTCTTCCTTCTTCCCACCCACCTCCCACAAATGGGTTTGTTCCCAAGAATATATATTCTCATCTCAAATTTGTCTAGGGACCAAAAATTTAATCCAGTTTTTACATAATAAGTAGTTTCTGGATTGTGTAGATCAGTAGCCTGTAATTCTCTGTCATACATACTAAACTTCAGGAAGCCATCATATGAGACTTAGTTACTAATATCTGGGAGTACACCTGAAAATGAAAATAGACAGCTAGGCCATTAAAAAAATTCCAAGATTATTTGGATAAAATAAAGCAACAAGAAAGATGCTTACTTTTTTTTCAAACTAAGCTTACCTTATTAGACATGTACATAGCACATGATTCAGGAAAAAGCATTGCTTATCTTTCAACAGAGCTGATAAACATTTTGAAAGATGTTTTATGTAACCTCAGATTCTCCCTTCCAGACATTTAATAACTACACCCTAAAAATGTTTCTTCCCCCCAAACAATGTCCTATGTACTCTGGGTAAGATTATATTAAAACAATGGTTATATTATGTAACAAAAAGTTACTTTAAAGGACATACATACTATCAGTTTCACAGGACAAACATGGTGAATAAGGACAACAAACTCCAGAATGTGTTTTTATAACTGTAGCAACAGCAATAACTCCTTGGCAAACTCAAACAGTTTTTTTGGCAACCCTGGAGGTTTTCTGCATTTGTCACTTGGATACAACTGCGGAGGGTTGTCTAAAACTGCTTTGTCTCCTTCCATACCATCTTACTATGGCTTTGCTTTTAAGGAAGAAATTTCACATTTTACTTTAACTTGTTTGTGAATAAAATTCCGTTACAATCCCACAAGGGAGTTTTATATAAAACTTCTTATGCCTACATATCCCAAATGTGGTTTCTATATAATTTTTGTAATAAGTGACCTTGTAGACTTTTGAAATCTATGGGAATAGAAATTTTGTTTCCCTTTCAAGAAGATAAAATGAGCTCTCTTTTTGAATTAAAATTACCGACATATGCAAATGTAAAAATTTTCTGAATGTACACAACTGGGTCTGCACATTTGTTATCATTATGAGCATCTTTTAAAATAAGATCCCAAGGACAAGAATGCTTTACTAACCTGCAGTGGTCTCTGTTTATCACTGCTCTTAGGAGACTTCAATCCACTTGTTTGCTGCTGTAAGAGAAGTTGTCTTGCTGCTTGGAGAGCCTAGAAGTAAAAAGGGAGCAATATCTAAATACTTTGCTGAAGGGTAAATTGATTATCAATAATTGATTATTCCTTGGTTAATAGTAAAAGGCTTCAATGTATGAGAACCCCTTTCCCATCCTCCTTTCTAGAGAGAATTATTAAAGATCTTCTTCTAATGTGATATAAAAATTCCACATATCACACATATACAACTTTACTTAAAGTCATGGAGATACATGTAATCCTGCAGGAAATAGTTAATTTGTTTAAAGTGCTTAAAGAGGAAAAAATCATAAACTGCATCAATAACCTCATTTCCACAAGGAACTTGTCTTTGAGTATTCAACTAAAATGCCCACTCCCTTTTAAATTATCATTCAATTTGCATTTTCATATTACAATTTTGAAGCAAAAGCAGTAGACTTCAAGTGTTACCGGAAGCTGTAATTAAATTTGACAAATCAACATCAGATTATCTTGAAAGTGAATTAATAAGGATTTTCACTAAAGATTAAAAACACTTTTTTTGTACTTACAATTCAAGGGGAAACCTCTCCTTTGACAAAATAAAGTGCAGTTTTAATGCCAAATAAAATTGAGTGGTTTTCATTTGCATTCTTAGCAAAATCAGAGAACAAAGAAATTACCACTCAACCAATCAGGTTTGTTTCTATGTGTGACAGAATACCAATCAAAATAGAAGATGTTTTCATCTATTTTTCTGTTTTGTTTTTTTTTTCCCATTCAGGAAAATAAAACTTAATATAAGAAATTATATTAAATTTCTTTTACAGGAGGAGGGACAGTTTGGTGAGTGTATTATATAAACATAAAAACGAGTCCCCTAAAAAATACATATTGAGATGTTTTAAAAGTAGCAGTGTAAATTGAGGGGAAAAAAAACTTTTTAAGAGCCTCTCCTTTGCAAACTCCTTTTTTCTCTCAATAGCTGAGTTCAATGAACACTAATGATGAAATTTTTCAACACATACAACTAAAATAAATCATTGCCCTACTCTGTTATTCGGTGCTTTAGAATACGAGGTAAATTCTTCATGATGGGAGAAATACCTTAGATCAATATTCTACTATGATAATTGAGATTCTAAGCTGATAAAAAAGTACAATTTTGATTGGAATCAATGATCTGGTTTTTAAGAGAGTTTCTAGTATCCATGACAACAGTTGCTTTGACAAGATGTGCATATGGCATTACACTGCCAGCCGGTGTGAACAATGTTTGAACTACTGCATTGAGATGCTGAGCAAACAGAAAAAGTTGCCACGTCTTAACCCTCAGGGAAGGCAGTCATCCCCTGATCAATTATGAAAAGACGGAGAGAGGGCTGCTACAGTCTGGCTCCAAGCAAGTTCTCTGAGAAGGCAGGCAGACATAGAAACCAAAGTAAACAAACTGAACGCACAGGCACCATCCCCTAACAACACTGATTTGTCTTCCCGGAGCAGGATCTGGCCCAGTTTGTAAAGCACACTTTTTACATTTGGAGACACACTCACTCATAGCAATCTTTTGTGTTTTTTTTTTTTCCCAATTTTTCAAGTAATTCCAACCCTAAATGTTTCTAAGGATGGCACATTCCAGTGAACTCAGGCAATTTTATTATAAAGTTCACTTTGAAAAAAAAACACAAAAGACCAAATAAAAAATTCCACAAATACTTGATTATCACCAAACTTAGTTTAAAATATTTCACTTAATATTCTAAATAATACAGCTTTCCTTTTTTAATCCGCAACCTATGAAATAACTCCAAATGACATTTTTTAAGTGGAAATTACTATAGTGTGACCTAGGCTGTATTGTGTCTATGTGAAACTCTCAAAGAAAAAAAAATCCGTCAACTACTTCCGCCTTAGATGCCAAAATCCACATCAATTTTGCCTGATTTTTTTCATAAGATTATTATTTCCCTTTGAGTTCATCAGTTTATTTTGTATAAATGGAGTCTTAGGTTATATTTAATTCTGTAGCTATTTATTATTCTTGAAGGAGTCTAATGAACACAGTTCTGAATCTTGAAATCATGCATGGCTGGGACTAAAAGCACTCTTAGAAATCGTCTACTCTGATGTCCTCAGTTTAGCAAATGAGAATAATGAGGCCTAGAGTAATCAAGTGTTTTGTTCTAGGTCTCCTGCTTCCAGGCCAGAGTGCATTCCAGTGGGCCATACTGTCTCTGTCCCATCAAAGAAACCATTAGATGGCAATGAATAAAACCCTAGTAAAAGAGAACATGTGGCACCATGATAAATTATTTTCACCTGTAAAGAGAGAATATTCATTTATTAAAACCTAAAAGAAAAACTACAACATAATCTTTTCATGTTTGAATATGTAAGTGTTTGAATGGAACAACCACCACCGAATATATATTGTTTTTATGGCTAAGTGTTTTCTGCCGTCCTTGACTTGGGTTTCACCATACACTCTACCAATACCTGATGGAACTCTAAACTCTTGTAACCCTCTGATCATTTCACCAGTTATTACAAATAAACTAAAGAATTCTAGAGCTGGACATAAGCCTTACAGATTGTTTAGCTTAGCCTTCATACCCTGTAGACAAGTGACTGAAGAACCAATAATACGACAATTACTTGATTAAAGTCCAAAGCAGTAGCACAGTTTGGTCAAAAGTTCAGGCTCTTGTCTCCCAAGCCTAGGACCCTATTCATTTCATCACCCTGCATGATGTTCATTCAGCCCAACCCAAACAAGTAACCCAGTGGAATATGTAACACCCAGTGGCTATAGAAAGACACTGGAAAATTAGATTAGAATTGCAGCTCATGAAAATCTCACTGGACAAAAGCATACATGTACACTGTTTTTAAAGGAGTAATAATTATAATGGAATATGACCAATGGCCGGTTAAACTTCTAAAGTACCTTGGTTTCCGTATACACTTAGAGTTATCTTCAAAATAATCCAGGATCATCATTCAATACAAATTCTTATGAAAAAGGACCACTTGCCTATCTCAACATTCTTTTAGTAGCAGTAGAGACTGCTATAGTAAACATAAGAGGTGGGAGAACAAAAAGAACTCCAAGAGATCAGGATGATTTAAAACTCATAAGCAGGAATCTTTGGCAGTTTGCATTCTCACGGCAGGCATCGCATGACATTTTTATTCCCAGTATTCTGGATATCACTTTAGGACTGCATTTCAATAAACAATTGCTCAGAGACATTTAGTTCATCTTTGTAATTTATTATTGTAGCGACGCAAAAGATGAAAGATTATGAGATAAAATACTTTCATCAATATAAGGTGTTAGGTGTCAAATTACATAAAATATTAATTTGAAAATCACTTGCCCACTTCAGTTGGTAAATAGAAAAGATAAATTCCAGGACTAGGCATTAAGTTCTACGAGCTGTTTAGGTATTTATATGATTAGCCTCTGCCAAAACAAAAACAAAACTTAGAACAAAAGGCAAGAGATGTTTACAAAATCTCCTTTAATAATGACTGAGTGTGATTCTAGTGAACAACAAGAAAGAGGTTTCTAAGGCAGCCAAGCCATATCTAGTTTCCAAAAACACATTTGTTTTGAATTAAGAGTGCACTTTACTTAATGAAATTATCTAATTTTAGTAAAGCTAAAAAAAAACTAAGGACATTTTAAAAATTGGTATCAGATTAAATTAAAATATCTTGAAAAGATGACTAAAAATCTTTCTAATAGATTAAAGATATACTTTGTGTTAGGCTGCCGAAGTGTGGGTATGCACAAGTTTTTCAGAATTCAGTGCATCTTGCTCTAAAAAATGTGCTACGTTTTATGTTAACTAACTGGAATTTAAATAAAAACTTAAAAAATAATCATTGAAAACACCATTCCTAATTGTTACTGTTTAATTTCAAATAAATTAAAATTCTGTAAGAAAAAGTCCAAGCATATCACCCTTCCACAACTGTAATAACTTTGATACCTATGAATCTCATATACAGAGAGTAACTCTAGTGAGGAGGTCATTATGAGAATTAAGAGTAAAAAAGCTTTGTAACCTGTCAGATCAATACTGTTTTCTTATGAAGAACACTGAAAACTTTCACCAGGAGTAAAATTGTTTGAGAATAGCTTAGAAACACCCAGTGAAACAAAAAAATGTTGAGTATCCTAAGGTTTATAAATAACTTCTTTTTTTTCAAAGCAAATATATGTATATTTTGGGAGAAAACAGACATCACTCATATCTCTCCCCGTAAAAATAGGAATGCTTAACCTATCAGCCTGTTGCATTTGAGACATTAAAATGAAAAATGACATCTACACCCATTAATATCTTCAATGTATAAACAGCACAGCATGACACATTCTTGAGAGCTGAAGGCTACAAAATCTCTCTGAAACATAAATAACAAAGCACTCAGAAGCATATTTGATGTTGATATTCATCTCTGAGAAAAACACTGCTGCCTAGGCTTCTTATGAAAATAGATGCAGCCCAAATGGATCTCCTGTAATTGGTTTCAGATAGCGAGGTCAGAAGAAATATGATACAAGAAACGATTATGCGGAACAGGCAAAACAAGAATGTTTACACAGGCACTCCCTAGTTATACTGACAAGGGGTGTATACTTTGCAGATAACCAGAACCAAAAAAAAAAAAAATTGCCAGCAGGACATTCAAAATTTTGCTCCTCATACTCACATGTTTTAATCTTTAACTTATGATGCCTTTAACATGTTACTTTGAATACTGAACGTAAAATAAGTTTTCAAACAGAATTTCATTGTCTAATTATTTTCACAAGTGTGGTTGATAAAAAGCATATTTGGATCCTTCCACAAAGGACATGAATTCCTATTCTGTTCAGCCTTTCCTTGCATTATGTTCCCACTAAAGAGAATATACTGATAAATGTAATCTGAAGTCTCATAATGCTATTTAATAGAAGAAAATTAATCATCTAATTGTCATATCCTATTTTCAAACAGCAATCTATCAGAGTGAAATTATGCATCTGTAGCTATTGACCTTTC